ATCCCCATGGAGCATAAAGGAAGGGTAGTAGTCGGGTAACCCCAACGTCTGGGAGGGCGTACTCGCGGCGGGGGGAGTGGGTACGGAAAGTCCTGCCTCAGCTTTATGGAGATCCTCCGAGGTCGGGGGAAGAGTGAGGCTGGTCAAAAGAAGATTGCTGCTCGGACGCCACTCCGACGCGTCTGCGTTGAGTTTCGACATCGCCGAGGATAACTTGCGCTCTAATACGGTGTTTTAGGTTTTTATTCTAATGCAACGTCCGCGTTGAGACAGAATAAAATTATATAGGGGGAAATGGTGAGAGAGGGGTTAGTTTTTCGGAATTTTTCAATGTGTATTTGTGATTTATGCGTCTTAGTTATATATTCTGTGTGTTACACACCTGTCTTGTTTCTTTGGTTGAAATATAGGTCGTATTGGACAAAATCCAACGTGTATGAAAAAGCAGTGATTTAATTGTAGTAAATGCTGGACTAAAATCGAGAGAGAAAAGTTGAAAAGGAAAAAGTGAAGTATCGAAAAAGTAAAGAAATGCTGACCAAAATATTTGGCTGAGCGAGGGGAGGAAATTGACCATAAAATTATGATTTCATATTATATATATATATATATATATGTGTGTGTGTGTGTGTGTGTATCATTTTCCTCCCTACAAGGCAAACACAAAATTCTATGATTCACCATAAGTAACAAATGTTTTAGCATTCGAAATTCATTTGGAAAGGAGAAATAATGACTAAATATCTATAAGTTAGATATACAATATTTCCCACAAATAGGTGCATTTGGGGGAAAACTAACACATGCTCCAAGGTTTGTGCATAGTTACATGGATTGTATCTAATCAATGTTGTAGACTTTGGCTATATGGATGTGACTCAGCCAACTCCCAGAACAGCCTGTGGTGTCCAGCTTTTCGAAAAAAAAATAGGAAACACTACACTCTCCAAATACGTGTTGTACGACATCACGTGCGGCCTATCACGCTCCCAGCATTCCTTAAAAAGCAACAAAAGGGACTCGTGCAGCAGGAACAGCCCCGCTTCTGCGTCGCTAGGCGATTCTGAAGACCACAGTTTGCAAATATCAGGCGAGTAAATATTTCGAAGTGAAGTATTCCGATAACGCGGGCTTCCCGCAAGGGATCGCCTTGAAACCAGCTTCACCTCCCCAGAGGAGTCCCCGACAACTGCTGATGAATCCCCCTCTTCCATCCCGTCTTTCCCAGTCTGCCCGGTGAGTTTTATGGTATCATACAACACCTCAAGATGTGGAATATAAAAGCGGCAATCACACTCCAGGAGGAGCAGCGCCGTAAACTGAATACTCACAACGGCGATCAGATACCAGCTTACGCCCTCATCCTCATGGATGGCCTTGTTGTACGCCATCATCTCACGAATCCTGGCGGGATGGCGCTTCGCGAAGTGAACTAACTGCCGAAGAGCAAGGACGCCACCGCCGCGCAGATCCGTGGTGGGGTCCTCGCCTTGAAAGCCGAGGTCCTGCCAGTGCGCACCGGTGCGTTTGTAGGTCGAGAGCGGCCTTCCAATCGCAACCCACAGCTGCTGGAGAAGGTTGAGGTGGTGATGGTTGTGGTTGTCAAAGGGCGTCCCGCGCTCGATCGCCAAACGCCGCAGGCTCATATCTCCCGAAAGAAGCTGCCGCATCAGATGCCGCTCCACCACTGGTGAGGACCTTCGATCCTTCGAAATGGCCACAGCGGCGGCATCCGGAGTAATTAAATCCACATCCCGCGTCGCGGGAAGGTAACTTTCCTGCAGAAAGTGGAAAAAAGCATCGGGGGCTCGAATACAGTAGGCGTTAGGGTGCTTCCGCCCTCCAAAAGTCTCATCAGCCGGACCGCGAAGGAAGTTAACAAGCTCGCCGACCGTGCCGATCTTTCCTCGACGAATTGTATCCAAAACGACCTGCATCGCGTGATGGGGATCCTCCTGAGCTGGAAAGCCCAAAACCCCATGCCGGATGCTGCGACCCCCCACACCACCACTATGATCCACCTGACGGCTCTTCCTCCAGTAGACCCATAACGTGCCTATTAACCCAACTGTCACAGCCGTTACAATCACTAATGGTTCTCGGCCTCCCATTGTAACATGAGGAAGGCCAAGGATAGGGTGCTTCATGGACATGCGTAGCTTTTGATTTTTCCTAATTTAAAGAAATATAATAAATCTCTAGAAGGTGTGATATTGGACGCCTCACCACAGAACCGCCTTGTTCAAACTTATTGTCTACTTTTCCAAGCGGGATCGGTTTGGAGAAATTTTTTAGATGGTATTGATTATACGTAAGATTAATTTTTTAAAAATCATGTAAACATTACCAACAGAAATAAAATGTGGAATACCACAAGTTCTCCCTATAAGGGGTAATGAGATGAAATTATGTAAGTGATAAAAAAAAAAAGTGCTGCAATTTTGGAAAAGGGAAAATCAATAAAGAAGATCCATTTTCCTCATGATTACATATAAATATTGCCATTATTATTCGGTAAAATAAGTTCAAGCTTCACACAGAAACACATGCTATCTCACAATGACTGTAATATCAAGCAAATCATACAAAAAGTAATGACTTTCTACATGATCCTTTGATCTAAATACGTGAAAAGCTCCGAATATCTTTTGAATTGACTGCACTAATTGTTCAAATCTCATTTAATCATTTCTGGTGAAAGCAGAACATAAGGAATCTGAACAGAAAAAAATAGTGTACAGATGTCAATGAAAATGGTAGGTGACAACATAAGCGGGGTACTCATCTGCCGTATTACCTCACTGCGCTTAGGCTACAACACTATACTCTCTCTTTCTCACCACACACACTATAGAGTATACAAACTGCACAGTTTCTAAGGAGATTATGGCACTTACTGGTATTTTCTAGCATTACGAAGGAATTTCTGGCATCCTCTAGGTCGCACGTGGTATAATCTTGGTGTGACTTAACACGATTTTTTGCCTGTTTGAGCCTTAGTCAAAATCCATTGAAGGCACCCTTCGTCGAGTTTATTCTCGGTCATTCCTTAACACCTATTACAGCATTTCATATATCAGTTCTATTTCCCGAAGCCGTATTGGTTTGCTGCAAAAGCCCTCTTATAGTTCCATATTGTATCCAATTTTTATACACAATCAGCGCAGAATCTGTCCTACCCTAAACCTCATATATATGCAAATGGTAGACTAAGGCATGCCCCCTACAGCCTAAAGACTCTTAGAATCTTGTAGAACTTAACTTTTCTTGGTTTAGATTATTCCCCATAAACACATAATAAGCTTAAAGTCGGCACCCTAAGTATGTGTGCTCTGACATTACAATTTTGTCTAAATATATTATGAAAGAAACGATAATTACAATTTTTGAAAGAAGAAGAAAAGCAAGAGGGATAAAAATTCAAGATCAAGCTATCAGATTTTTGGGAGGCTGGCATTTAAAAATATATGTATAAGATTTTGGCTTCATAACAGCAATATGACAGAAACTCATAAGAAAAAAGAAGCAGATTTTTAAAAAAATGAAATGAAATGTATTCAATAAGAAACTAATGCTACAGTTTTTTAATAAATAAATAGACATATATATATTGAAAGAGAAAGGTGAAAGAATGTTTTCCGATACACGTCCTATGACGCCGATCTTCATTTGTGATTAAATTCGAATAAAATGTTTTCCTCATAGTTAACCCGGTCTTTGGCAACGATCCAGGAACTGTTGACGGCGAGAGGCTGGGTGCTTTCCCGAAGGTCGGAACCCACTTGGTACGGTGTTCGTTTCGTTTCGGCCCCCCCACGCCGTTCGAACCACTCCTGGTATTGAGTGAATAATAGGTGGAGCTGATCGCTCAAACGACGCTGTAAAAGCGCGTGGATCCCCACCCCTACCAGGGCCATAAGCACTCGAAGAGGAAGAAGAAAGCCGCGCGCGTGAAGGCCGCAAAACCTCACGAGGTGAGGCCTCAACAGGAGGACGCCAGCTACGCAATAAATTCGCCGTTGGCTCCTGAACTAACTTAGCTCCCACCTCGCCCTTGTACCGTCCAGCAGGAGGAGATGCAGGATTGAAAAGTGAAAAATGCGGGTTAGAATGCAAAGAACAATGCCAAGAAAGCGAAGGGGCTTCAAGAAAGTCATCTGGTGGTGCGAGCTTAGGTGGTATCTGAACAATAGAGGGATCACTAAATAAGGAGATCAGCTCGCCAGGAAATCGTTGTCCAGAGAGGGGTGCATGCATGCGATCATCGTAGAAAAGCTTATCTTCCTTGACAGGACGCAGCCCCCAGTCCGTCGAGACGCAGGCTGGATAAATGAAAGGAGCCGCCATGGAGGATTTTAATCGCGGCTCCGGAGCAATCGCGGGGAAAGAACCTTCACCACACACGCTATGATCCGGAAATGTAAAGATCCCCCCGGGCGGAGGTGGAAGGATGTCGTCCTCAGGGCTACCGATAAGCTGAGGGCAGCCCAGTGATGAAAACTCACGGTGCGGCTGCGTTGGGAAAAAAGTCGAGGCGATGCCGCCGAACGAACCGGCAGGGTGGCCATCCAAGCCCATCGCCCCATCGTGAAGTTTACCCGAAATACCCAACCTCGAACCGGAACCCTCGCGTTCCCCTTGTGGATTCATAGAAGGAACGACCAGGGTTAAGGGGGATGGTAATACGGATCGTAATGGGGATGGAGGAAGGGGCCCCCCAGCCGCTTCCCGACAGAGTGCTTCGTCCTCCTCCTCCATCATGTGCGTGTCATCTTCCCAAAAAAGAGGTAAATCGTCGCGCGAATCAGCACCGGCCCCTACCGACGCGAAAGGAGGAGAAAAAAATGGTTGATCGGATATTCCAGCCTCGCCGCCTTTGCCTAACGAAGCAGGAAAAAAAGTAGAAGAGTCTCCCCCCTCCAGTGTGCGGTGCTCGGAGGGCATACCCCCATCCATAAAAAGTGGGAGGGGAGCATGCTCGGGTGGGAGTAAAGTTAATCCCGCGCGGAGATGGTTTTGCCAATCCTGCGCGACGCCCTTCTCCAGGGGCCACCGCAGCGCTAAAACGTCCACCCCCCCTCCGGCAGGGGCAGCCCCCGTCAACGCCGCGAAACCATTCCCTTCGGAAAAGTTGGAGTAGGACCGACGACCTTTTTGATAAGTTTTAATTCCCTCAAACACATCGCTCTGTCGATCCCGCTTCCGGCGCTCTCGTTCAGCTTTTTCCTCGGCGTAGGTCCGCCGGCCGCCGTGTGCGCGGTGATGAAAAGGAAGATCCTCGCCACGACTCCAATCATCCGCGGCGCCAGAATTGACGTGAGCGCCTCCATCCCCGCTATCCGTTCCAGCTTTACCTTCACCAGGCAAGGCCTTCGCAAACGCGCGAAGGAGAAGATGCGCCTGCGCGCGGGCAACGGAGCTCGTCACGGGGAGGTCAGAACCCATCGAAGGGTGTGAATCCATCCCCGTGTCATACCCCGCGATGTTTGTCTCCTCGGATGAATGTAAAGGCCCACCCTCCATGTATTTAGAATCGCCCACCACGACGTGGCCCTTCTCGAGATCTCTTTCCCCCCCGCAAACCTCCTGGGGGGAAGAAAACGCCATGGAGGGCATATCCGGGGGCTCGGCGTCGGGGGACGAAAAAGCGATCGGGGGAGTAGAAAAAGCAGGGGGAAGGGCGAGGTTTTTCTTCGCCGCGCGGGCGGCCCGGGTTCGGGTCCCAGCCGTCCATCGGAACATAACCCCCTCTCCTCCCTCCGTTTGGAAGGGTTAATGGGCGCTCCGGGACTAGGGGAAAATTAATGTAACAGGTCCAATAGAGCCCCCCCCCCTCCCCTCCTCTTTCCCTTGAGGTCTCTGCTAGTGTGTAACAGTGAGGTAACTAAACCAACCGAAGAACAGGTGGGAGAACGGAAATTGTAACGAAATAACTCCAGCCATTTCAGGGAAATTGAAGCACCATTCGCCCGCGGCTTCGGGTGTGAGAGAGTGAACATCATTCATCACAGAAAAGAAACTGATCGCCATTGCAATTAGTTCGTGATAGGGGTTAAAGCACAAAGGAAAGGTTGCATATTTTTTTTTGGAATTTCAACACTAATGCATACCTCTATTCCATAGCATATTCGAATGAAACTAACGTTATTGTACAAAAGTAATAGCACTCCCTGAATGGAAATGATATATTATAACATAGAGAAAAACAAGTGCAAAAGGAATGCCTAACTTTTTACTTTATTTCTTGTAGCGTACTTTTCTGATATCTCAGACGTTATACTAGTGATAAAACGATATGCTATCACTCATTCACTTTCAGTCTGGAATGGCCATCAAAGCCAAATATCGAAAGAATATCAACAGTAATACCTTAATCTTCTCATAGCGCGTGTGCTTTCTACTTGAAATATCCAATAAAATGTTTAAAAAATCACTCGTATTGTTGTCTCAGCATTAAAACTATAAGAAAAAGGAGCTCACAACTCCAAGGCCCACACACTGCCTCGCCATAAGACAGAAGAAAACACTAGAGGTGGGGATAAAGAAGCGAATGATATTTATTTAAGAAGTTTGTCCTCGGTGCAAATCTGAAAATTCTATTATCCCTCGCCTTGATGTCAATGGTTATCGTGGCTCAAGATGTTTCCCGTTCTTTCTGTAGGCCCTTCCCTTCCTATCAAAGCCCACGCAATACCGCTCTGTAAGGTCCGTAATCGAGGCGTCGTGCTGCGCCCACTGGTAGAAATCCAACAATCCCAGGATTACACTACCAGAACTCCCACAGAGCTCGATGTTCGTGCCCCCTGCCACCACCCGGAGGGGAAGATCGGAATGGCCAGATCCTTTTCCCTCCCCGTTTGCTGGAGACTCCTTATTTAGTTCAAACCCACCGGCCAATGGGCTGAGATGAGAGTGGACGTTGACGTGGGTATACCCCGCTGCGTCCTCAGCGCTTGAGTCCAGCATCGCGGCCTCGCGGAGGGTGCGATAATGACGGGCGGCATTCACCAACAACTCACTGCCCTTGATGTAATAAGAAGGCAACGCGACGTGAAGTGGAGAAAGCGTATGTTGAGGATGTACCTTCTGGTGCATAAAGCGATCCGAATAGGAATTCAAAGGTAGGTGATCTCCATCATTATGAACCGTTTCGCTATGTGAGATCTCAACAGGGTGAAGGAATTGGGTTTTAGATGACCACCCTTCACCCTGCATGCAATTCATTGAGGCGGCATCGGTGCCGATATCCATAAGTCGCCTTTTGTTTGACTTTTCGCCGTCCTCGTCTTTTTCCGAAGGGACGATTACCGTGTGCCCACCATCCTCCCCGCAAGCCGTGTGGCTCATTACGTCATTACGGTCCACACGGCGCTGCTTTGTATTCTCCTCCTTATCACATCTGCTCGCTTTTTGAAGTTGAAAACGCTTCAGACGGCAATTCTCTTCAAAGGCATTCCAACTCATCAACCGCAGCGCACTCACCAGCAAGAAAAGTGGGGCCCGATAGATCCGTTGAGGGCAAGGCGGGGGATGGGACCCGGCGCCGGACATCGTCTCCGCCGAGGGGGGGGTGGAAAGGCAAAACCATACATCCGATCGCGAACGATTAAAAATAAGCCCAATAAGAGGTAAACGCACTTGAGACGTAGAAAAGCCGGCGGACGCGGAGAACGGTCCGTACGGATCGGAGAGATCGGGGCTTCGGGTGAGGTCGGCGACGTCATTCCCCATTCGAGACCGCCTCACATCTTTCCCTGAGGCAGCCGCGGCGGAAGCAAACTGAGGTGAATCACGCAAAGAATCCATAGGATTGGTTACCTCAATTCCCTCGATCTCTGTGGGGCGGACAACTGATGGAGTTTCCTTTGGAACAGACACCTGTCTAGCTTCGCTGACGCTGGTCACTGGAAGAGAAGCAGGCACGCAGCGACCGATATGATAACGTCGTTTAAAGCTCCAGATATCAAAGGACAGAATCTCATTATCAACACGAAATATAGGGCTATCCCACGAGCTATTTATGCAAGTTCCGGAGCTCTTGTCGGTGAAAGGCATAAAGATATGGCGTGGTGCCCGCAGCATATAAAACGCGAGAAACGTCCCGCAGCTTTGCTTAGCAGTATGACCCCCACAGAAGACGGGTTGCCACATAATCGCCACCCACGACTGGTGATCCACATCCGCTGTTGAGGCGGTAAGAAGGGTTCGAAATGCCTCGTTCGCCCGCGCGAGCTCCTCCACCTGCTCTACCACCCCATTACGATTGTCCGGACGCTCGGAGGCGCTCCAGCTCAGCAAACCCGGGGAGTCGGAGGGAATCATGCCATAGGGAGAAAAAGGCAACGAGTGGGGTCCCGCCTTGCCGTTTGGCCGGTCGTTGCCTTCGCGACGTTTTAAGGCCAGCAGCTTGGCGTAGGCGGCCGAGGCATCGTGGAAACGAATTCGGAAACCACTCAGGAGAGGCGTGTACACCACCTTGCTCTCAGGCGGTCGCATGTTGGAAAGAATGACGGACTGATAGAGAGGAACCAAGCAGCCAAAAGGGTAGTTGAAACTATGCCAAACTGACGCTAAAGACACGATAGGCTCTACGAAATGCGGGCCCTCGAAGTCTTGGTAACACCGCAAAGGCGATACTAAGTCGGGGTCCATAACACTACCTGCATCAATACCACGGTTATCCACATTCTTGGCTGACGTGGACGAAGGGATAGGACAACTTTCACTGCTAGATGACTCCATATCATTATGATGTGTATTATGAGAATGCGAAATTGAGCATGAATTCCCATCCATAGGTTTTTTAAAATTATTTTTAATAGTTGAATTTATACCATTAGCACTCTGTGATTCCGTGTTGGAAACCGGTACAGTACTGTTGACAGCTTCTGCGCGACCATGCGGAAGAGCTGACGGATCCTGGCGCTCTACCTTATTGGTATCCCCATTTATAAGTGAGCTGGCTGAAGGAATAGAATCAGACGACGATGTAGACTTCAACCGCGGCGACGACAAATTCACGTCATCCTGGAAAGGCAACTCTAAGTTGTACGCAATTGGCACCCTTGGTGAAAAAGAGTCAACAAGGCAAGTAATGTTGCCGTACAGCGAAGGATCAAAGGAAGCATCAGCATCAAGCTCCTCAATCCATGTTTCCTGCGTAGTTTCAACGTAGTGCTCGTAAAGCAAAGAAGGTATACCATTGGGGTAGACGTAGTTTGAGTTACCACGCTGCTGCTGAGGATGGCATGAAATGTGAGCGCGGCGTGAATAATTACCGCCGGGTATGGGGAAATGAGCGCTGGGAGCTGTGTTGGCGTCGACGTTAATGTCGCTGGATAGATTAGGTTTAAGATGACTTCCAGTACCAGTCATCGGCGATACAGGAGTCCCGCCATATATAAAATGATCCGGCATCTTAGAAGAAACGCAGATCTGCGTCCCACCACGTAGATTTCCAAAGCTGTTGTTTGTATTGTTAATGTCATCGCGCTCCACTTGAGAAGGAATGCCTAATGCAGGGGGTTTCGGTGACGAGAATGGGCATTGTGTTAATTGAGACTGCTGGTACGAGTATTGTTGTGGGTACCGTTGTTGCTGCTGAGGGACATTGCTGTTAAATGGCCGCTTGCTATTACCTGGAAAAGTAGCGACCGGGATAGGATATCCTGAACCTAAACCCAATCCATCGGCATCCAAATGTCGGCAGGATGGGGTATTAAATGAAATGCCGCTGTCAATTAATGTAGGAGAAAGTGGAAATACCGCGGCACCGCCCGCAGCTTCCCCACTAACTAACGTCCCAAACGGCGGTGGCTGGCTCAGTGCAGGGGCAGAGACCATCGTGGGAACAGCCCCTGGACCCATTTTCGGGTGGTGCCCGCACGCCTGTCTAGAGATGCCCATCTCCTCCCTGTACGAATGCAGCGTGTTGAGGTGCGAATAGGATGAATTGGGTTTAAAAGTCCGAACACCGCCAGCTCCATACATCGCAGGAGACTGATGCGAAGACGGTGGTGGATGCATAGAAGACTCGTAATTAATGGGTAATCCCTGCGGAGTACTGGCGCTGGTTGAAGTTGGAAACGCGCTAGAATCCAATGTCAAGGCTTGAGCAGGCGAAAAGGAATTCCAATAGCGATCCATAGCATTTGTGTAGCACGGTGGATGACGCACTGGAGTCGTATTCGCGGTTGCTGGTTTGGATCCCCCTTCAGTATCCCATCTCTCTAAGTTTACACCCGCCAGATGACCTGAAGGTGAATTGGACGCGATCACAAATTGAGGTTCAGTGACTAGATTGGGGGGCTGATCTTGCGGTCTAACACCTTCTTCTGTCGCAATCTCAAGGCCAGTGCTGATGGGTACAAAAGGTTGTTGATGCTGAGAACTATGCGATTTAATATCCCTTGCTAACTGTTCCTCGTAGTGGACTGCCCCAGTTGGTGTAGTAGACAAACTCACTTCGTTAAGGGGATGGGTCGCCACAGCCCCCGGTGCCGTCTTCCCATGTAATGCTGGTGGCAGCTTACAGTTAGGTAGCTCAGCCACTTGGACTGTGGTATCAACACGGGGATGATTTTGGATAAAATTCGACGCCATGGAGACCGAACGCGTGGGGCCCGATTGTCGATCATAGGAAATTTCCGAAACGGAAGGAGGTGTGTCCTCGCGAGCCTCAGCCGGGGCTTCTCTCAGGTCTGACCCATTGTGTGTGGCCCTGTGTTGGTACAGATAGGCCTCCTTATGGCGGTGTCCATGTAGATGTTGCTGGAAAGGTGAATTCTGATAGTTACTGATACTGTCAACATCTACGGTGGGAACACTCATATTCACGCACCTATCACCCTTTAATGTCATTGCGCTTAATCCATTCGTACTGTGCCTATCCTCGGAATTAGCATCACGAATATTCATCTCCATCTCCCTGCTGCGCTTATGAGATGTGTAAGCTTCGCTTCCCTCGGCGTTGTCATAATTTTTTTTTAGATCACTTTTATTGGGGCCTGCCACAACAGGTGTATCGCTCACATATCCTCCATTTGTACTTGTTTTGCGACCTAGGATCGATCGGCATGGGAAAGACATGTAGGCACCACCTCCAGAAAACTGCATCATTTGAGAATGATTTTGCAGCAAATACGGTGACACTCCACCCTGCTGCATCGCATTAAACTCTGGTTGTCCAAGATGATAATCTCGTGGATACGGTTGCATAGAGTTGTTGATAGGTGGCGGCGTCGGGTGCATTCCGTAGCCCTGAGAATAGAATGGTCGATAACCCCTTAGCTGCACATTCGCCGATGGTAATGCGGCAGCGGGTGGTACCACGGCAGGGAAATGGAAGTAAGAAGCCGGATTAACATTTGAGGAATTAATGCCTCCAATAAACCCACCCGCAGAGGAACTGTCCTCACAATTCTGAGGAGTCGTTGAAGCAGCTGTTAACATCACCTCCTGACTGGGGTAATTAGGAAAATGGTAATAGGGAGGTTGATAGTACGTCTCAGATGAGACCATCCCCCTGGGATCTGCGTAGCAGTTGGTATTAAAACTCGGTTTAGCGCTAACGATGGGCGCTGCAGGTGCATAAAAGGGGTCCGTATATTCTGGGTGAGACAGGTAGCCTGAACTCACTCCAGTGAATTGTTGATGTTGACGATGGTGATATTGATGGCGATGATAATTCTGCATCGGTAGCTGTGAGATGTTTTGACAATACAGCATTTGTTGCTGCTGTCGATGGGGATAATTTCCAAATTCTTCATACAACATCGCAGGTGCGGAAGCCCCCTGAGTACCCATAGGATGCTGATAAAAATGGTGATGATGATGATGATGATGGTAATATTCTTGGTACTGATGATAATGATGTTTATGATGCTTCTGGTAGCGGTAGTGGTGATGAACAACACCTATTTGGCTCTGTGGTGATGGATATCCTATCACTCTTTGACTACTTGAAGATGGTCTTCTAGTCTCCACACATCCTGAAGATGTCTGACATAACTGATGGTGGTTCTGCCAAACGTCGTTGTTAAGGTTTGAGGTGGAACTATTTTTAGATTGTGGTTGACTATTATAATGCATCCCCCCTGAACCATGCGCACCAACAGCTGCAGTAGAGGTTAGCAAAGAGTCCTGAGAAAGAAGAGTTCCGGGAGAACTGCGCTGCTTGGGTGGGGCTACACCAGTTGAGGCGCATGAATCACGAACAGTTGAAATATCACTTGTTCCAAAATGTGCTGCGTTATCACGCAAATCCGAACTCCATCCTCTTTTACCTAAATCAATACTATCAGGACCATTGTTATTGTAACTACTACTAATAGTATTAGGTATTTCCTTTACTTCATTCTGCGATGCTAAAGTGGTGAAGGGGGGGTGATGGTTTGCTAGTGTAAGCTTAAGTGCGGCCGATGTGGACAATGTGTGACTTAAGCCCCTTCTTAGGCTGGTAGGGCTTCTCAGCTCAGCAGGATCTCCCTCTACCAAACCATTAGGTAGTTTTGAGTGTAAACCAATCGCACTTGCTCCCGACTCTTCCATGAAAGAGTCTGTTGAAGATCAAGTAACGTATAATGGATATGCGCGCTCTTGTGCACCAAACGCGGGAATATCGTACAATATATAAAATTAATACAGCTATCTCGCTCTTCGACAGTTGAAATTTGTGACAAGCAATTAAAAGACTATACACTCTGTTGTGTGTGTGTCAATATCCCTGGCCCTTCTGGTTTAAAGGGGAAAGTGTAACTCAAGGAATCCAAGTCAATCTTCCTTGCTTACCCAAAGAAAAGCTAATTTTTCAAAAAATATATATACTACGAAATGAGAAGAAGAATATGAAAATAAATCAAAAAATGCGCCTTGAAAAATTTATTTGAAACCTAATTCTAGTGAAGCAACAAGGATTTCTTCAGCTGTGGGTGTAAACAATATAAAAAAGGAAATGGAAAGGAAAATTAAAAATACCTCGTATCCTTTTATGATTTCTTTTTGATTTTATTGAGTGTCTACTTAACGCGAAATTTGACAACTTTTCTCTTTTTTTTTTGATAGAAAAGGCCTTACCCTGCTAATTTGTTTTTGTTGTATCCCTTCCCTAGCAAGAAGTACAACTAAGAACTTTTTCTTGGATATATTTTACAAAAATGGTTGCTAATGAGATTCTTGTCTCAACAAACTCTTTGTGACAAATCCTCACAAAAAGCCTTTTTCTGACAAGTTAATTGTCTATCGCTTTGTTACTGAAAGCAGAAAAATATCTAACAGCCTAAAAGGAATTCACTTCACTACGGCTCTTGAGAATTTTGAAAAGAAAAATATATTAAAGATAGAAAACATACAGTTTTTCAGAATTATAAAAGAACATAAGAAGAAATAACTCATTATTTTATAATTTGTATAGTACGGTAGATGGTTAAAATGCAAAAATGGATCCAACATCTATTTTTTAAAAAAGTCAACAAAGGCGTCAAGGGAGATTGTGCCGACACAAAAGTTAGGACCTTGTGATTTTTTCAAAAACCAAAGTGAACCCTCTGTAAGAAAAATTTACAAAATATAGAGAAGAAAATCAATGAGCCCATCGTAAAGTTATCAAAGATGCGCAAGGATGCGGACACGGATTCATCGACACTGAAAAATTAAAATTTGCCTATTGATTTGTGGTTCATAAGCTTTCAGTTTAGTCCAATGAGAGCAGTCATCTATAACGTCTACTTCGCTGTATATAGAATATCTTTAATGGAATTAGCTAGCGCAGCTGTTCTCTCATGTTTAGAATTTAACTCTTTTAATACTAAGCATTCAATCATCCTAAGCTTATCATAATAAAAATGCCTCTCAAGTGTTACCTCCTGCATCTGTTGAGTCAACCCCTCAGACGTTACGTGACTGTTGACATGACAAGAGATCTCACTGTTAGTGGTGAGGGTGGTAGTGTTGGACTGCTTGTGCAGACTGTTAGTGAAGTCAACCCCCTTTTGTCGCGTGGGAACCCCCTTAGAAGAGCGCAAAACGGCATCCTGAGCGTCCTCTTCAGTCGGGGCTTGCGCGTGAGAGACCTCCGGTGATGTTCCCGTTTTTGTGATGGATAGTTTGGGCGTTCGCCTGGGACGACCACGCGAGTGCGCACCGCCGTTCCCCAGGTGGCTGATATTCAGGCCAGTTGACCAGCCCGCGTGCGTCTGCTCCCCCCGCCCGCCATCCCCGCTGCCGAGG